TAGAAATGAGCATTTCTAATTTTTACATTTCCTATAAGAATTTGTAATGAAGCTACCAGTGCAGTTGGAAAGTCTCACATTGAATATTGGGTCTTAGGGTTTTATTTAGGATGGAATTTAAAGTGGGGGGGTGTGGAAGTTTTATAAACAGGGTACATTAGATATAACTTCATTGACATGCCATAATACTGAAGGTCACATTTTGGGAGGTGGGGGAAGTGGGGATTTGCATATATTCTTTCAGTTCAAAATATTATATGGGAACATACTGATTGTTGTACTTATGTCTTTATAAATCTCATTTCAGTGCAGCTAACTCAATGTAGCTTAAACATTGCCTGTAAGTCTAATGTAAAAGTGTCCTACTAAAATACAGAATCTCTATAAACTTCTAATCAAAGTTTTGTGGATTTTTTTTTTTTTTTAAAGCGGATTGGTATTGAGGGGGCTCTATTATCTCAAGCCACCAAACTAGGATCAAGTGAAGCCCTGCTGAATTCTAGGAAAAAGGTTTCATTGGAATCCAGTGGGCTGGAAAGCCAGTTTCAAGAGTCTATTGAACCAGCCTACAGCAGCGACCAGGATGAAAATCTTCAGACTTCTGCTACAGAACAGATTGATGCTGATGATGAAGAAGAGTCTGAAGAGGTAGGAAAAAAGAGGAGAAAAAATAAAATTATTTTTTTCCTAGGGAGGATGGAAGAGGGATTAAAGTTATCTGTAAAACAGCCATGAGGAAAGAACGCGTTGCAAGTGTTTACAGCTTTCTCAGATATATTTTTATTTAGACTTCACACAATACTATCTTGCATTTAACAGAGAAGATGTAGAAGTAGCCACTATACAGAGGGAGAAATTCCCATGGCTTGAATGAGATTTTACTTAGTCCTTTACAGTCCTCAAACTTAGCTCTATCAGAAAGCTATTGCTTTTACCTGTTGCACACAACTGGCTTTTCCTTGCTTCTTTGGCTGATGCCATGAAAGAAACCTTTTTAGATCACATGTAGAGACAGTGCCTTCAGGTCTCCAAAGCAAGGACTTGAATATTAAGACTTAGGCACTGCTGCAGGTGATGTGATGTTTCTTGATTTATGAGCTCCTGGCAGTAGGTAGGAATGTGTGAACTTTATCATGCAGTTTTGAGTAGGATTTCTGAAAATGAGAGTCTTTATCTGTTACTACTGCACCAATGGTAGTTTTTCCCACTCTGTATGATGTTTCCACACATATGTAGTACCTTTGAAAGACTAAAACCCCAGCTTTGAAATGGACCTGTATTAAATTATCTAGATTTTCAGTTTATTTTGTTTAGTTGAGATTGAGGTTATATCCTTGTGCGGTCCATTTATTTTGTGAATTATACCAAACCAATTATTGAAATCTTTTGAAGCTTACTGTGCATTTCCTCTTTGAAATTACACTATTTTCATTATGAATATTTCTCAAAATAGTATCTGGTATGAATGTAGTGCAGTGTCTTGGACTTCTCCCTCTTGCTGACAAGTAAGTACAAAAGAATGAGTAAGCCCAAAAGAGTACCACCATAAAAGTGTATACTAGTAGCTTAGTGTTTAATACTAGATGTGACAACAATACTTTCACAGATATTCTAGGCTCTGAATCGTTCCTGTGGCAGTACTCTTATGATTCATGAGTTTGTTAATCTCCCAGTATTGATCCCTGATGTGTTCTAGCTACTAATAATTCCTGTGATCAAGACTGTACAAAGAACTGTAGATTTTATTACCCCTCCCCTTCCTTTTTTCTTTAAAATCATAGGGAGTACAGCAAAACTCACTGCAAAAATCAAAAGGGGGAAGAAAAAGACTTAATAGTCAAGCTGCTGAAAATGTTGAAAAACGGAGAAGTCTTAATGTCAACAAGTGTGAAATGCAGGTATGTAATTATTATTTTTACTTGTATTTTTCTATGCATCATATATATGCCAAAGAAATCTGCTTTACCTAAGTATGCCATTTTCTGTTTATGTAATGATGTATTAGTATTCAAATAATTGAAATATTCATCTCTATGATGAAAGGCTATTGGGGGGGGGGGAGGAAACAAGCAACTAACCAAACCAATCAGCATTAAAATTATCTTTTCCTCTCTCTCCCAACCTCTGGCCAGCAATCTCTGCAGCATCATGTTGGAATTAGTAAGCATGTGGCCTTGCTATAAATTGGATCTGGATGAAAACTTACTCTGAAAAGAAAAAGAAATTTTCAGTGGTATATGCTAAAGAACATAAGATTTCTTTCTGCTAGGGTTATAGGCAAGGGGAAAGGGAGGAGAACAGGACTTTTGGCACAAGCCCAAAGTCAGATTAGCTTAATCCAACTGTGAAACTGCAGAGTTAGCATAAAAGGTTTAATCTAACCCCTGCCAAACAAATTTGCCTTTAATTACTCATGCATTAACATAAGCTACTGTCTTGTATTTGAAGTAAGATGTTATTAAATGCCAAGAGTGAACTCTGAGCCATGGGAAGGATTAGAAGACAATGTAGTCTGGCACTGCCACCTTGGCTCCCTGGTTCTCTGTTGAGGAGCCTGCTTGCCCTGTCCATCTCCACATGATTCTATGCTGCAGGACCCACTAGTGCTATGACAGTTCTGTGAATGGAGGGAATTGCTGTATTATTGCAGCGATGTGCTAATGTTACCTGCAAATTTGAAATCTTCACAGAGCTCCAAGAACCCCTCAGATGAAGAGTCAACCCAGTTGAATACTGACCTTCCATTCTCCTGCACAGCTAGACAGTCACAGTCTCCTAGACAATTCAGCACAACCCAGAGCAACTCGCTAATCATGAATATCCTGGGAGGAAGTACCTCTGTCAGAAATATCTGGACGGACCATCAGATCAGGCAGGCATTGTTTCCAAGCCGGCGCCCACCTTATGAGAATGAAGATGATGAAGATGATTATCAAATGTTTGTACCATCACTGTCTACATCCAATGCAAGTTCAGCTGTCGATGGAGAAAGGAGGGGTTCTTCTGGGCGTCCATGCAGCTGGCATTTAGGTGTAGTGCATCAAAACGAGACTTCCAGCCCCACTCGTCACAAAATTGTCAGACGGGCCAGTAGTGCTGGTGAAAGTAACACGTGTCCAGCCAGCACAAGGTGCAAAATAGTGGAGCGTGGTTCTCGAAGGGAAGGGAAGATAGCAGAAGTGAGCAATAGGAATGCATATCCCGAATCTTCAGAGGAGTTGACTATCGATGATATTGAACACGTTTATGATAATATAAGCTATGAAGACTTAAAGCTGATGGGTCTGACAAGAAGGGAGGAGGCACACCGTGGTCCCCAGAGATCTGCTAGAGACTCTCTCTATGAGGCTGAAAACAAAAGCAGCTTAGATTCACCCTCCAAGAAGAGGACAGCAAATCAAAACAGGGCCTTCGCTTCTGTTAGTAGGGAGGAGATACTACTCAGTAAAGAAGCACCTACTTCAAGTGCGGATGAGCTCAGGATTGTTGAAGACAACATCTATGACACCATAGTGCTTCCAGAAACACCACTATTGAATTTTAAATGTGACCCCTTAAAAACCTCTAAAAGGAGAAGTTTTTTGGAAAAAGACCTTGTGTATTGTGACAATCTACAACATTTTGTTTCTGAAGAGAGTCTCCAGTTCAGTGAAGATGAAAGTCCTTACCATCGTGTTCCTGTTGACAATGACTATTTGAGCTTAGTAGATAGCTCCTCCAACTCTGATTCTCTGTCCCATAAATCTGCAGCAGATAAACTCTCAGAGGAAGTAGATGAGATTTGGAATGACCTGGAGAACTATATCAAGAAAAATGAGGAAAAGACAAGAGACCGTGTCCTTGCAGCCTTTCCTGTCTGTAAAGATGATATGCAGGAGAGGCTGCATGCTGGTAGTACACCTGAACTGAGTAAAGATGTAGAGTACTCACTGTCTACTCTCTCTCTGCCAGAAACTCCTATTTTCCCTAAAACTGTGAAGCCCAGGGCTGCCACCATTAGTGAGGCTAATCTCAGGCTTGAAGACACTACACCATGCAAGAACTCTTTTATGAGTCTGAACAGATCTTCCTTCTCCAGTGAGATGCCTCTTGTAGACAGTCCATATGAACCTGCCAATAACGTTCTGTCCAATGTGCATGCAGAAAGCATGGAAAATGACTTGGCTGTTGTGGATAAAACGAAGAACAGAGTTTTTATGATGGCAAGGCAATACAGTCAAAAAATTAAGAAGGCTAACCAACTCTTGAAAGTTAAGAGTCCAGAGCAGGAACAGCCAGCTAACAGACAACAGAAACTGAAACACAAAGATCTTGCTGCTATTCTGGAGGAGAAGAAACAAGGGGGGCCTGCTATTGGTATGTTAAAAACGTTTCTATATGGGTACATTTCTTGAGTAACTTTCAGTGAACTTTGTGTTCTGAACTGGAAGATTGTGAATTTTCCCCACCTTGTTTGTTAAGTATCAGTGTTGTATTTCCTCTGTTACCACTGAGATGAGTTTTCTGGGACTTCTTTAACATGAATAGTCCCTTATATCTCATTTCTTGTCATTGCTTGATAACTTTGGGAAGAAATAGCAGGGTGGTGTCAGGAAAGAGCAATTAAACTGAGGCTGGAAATAGAAATCATGCCCAAAGAACTGTTGGCCTCTACAGAAAAACAGTTATTTCCTTTAATAGTGTGATCTTCAGAGTTTGACTAAATTGGTTTATTTTCAAGTTGGTTCACCATCTAACAAGTCAGGTATGTTTGCTTGGATACCATCCACAATCACACCCATAAGCATAAGGAATTAGGTAATAAGATAAGAAGAGGTGGTGGTCTTGTTCTGTCAATGTGCAAAGTCATAGATATGCAAGAGCTCTGGAACTATTTTTGTCCATGGTCAATTGAAACAAATTGAAAACATGAAGCCAACAGACTTCATGCACTAGAGTGTCATTCTTGCCTTCTTGTGATATGTATAAAAGTCCCTAAATATCTTATTTACCAGGCCATTTTTAGAATGTTATTTTCCATTTTATTATGAAACAAGCAGCATATTATTGGAACCATGGGCTGCATTGTGTCCTGCATGACTACTCACTATAGCAAGATATTTTATGTTTCCTTTTCTCAATACAGTGTATTGAAATGTGATGCAAAGGGTCTTTTGGCCTCCATTGTTTTGTGTTACTTTGTTGAGGCCGAATATATTGACACAACTGAAAGATCTTCTCTTGACTGATACTAAGCGTTTTAAGATTTTTAAATTTTCACTTATTAATTGGAGTGGATTCCTTGTCTCTGCTAAATTAATTCTCTCTCTTTTCTAGGTGCCAGAATAGCTGAATATTCCCAGCTTTATGACCAAATTGTTTTCAGAGACAGTACTCCTAAGGTGCAAAAGGAAGCCTGGGCCACTCCTCAGGAGACACCAGCTGGGAGGTTTTCCACGCCCGTGGCCACATCACCTCCCCGTTCCCAGCCTGCCAGTGAATGCCCAAGAGCAGAAGATTGGCTTTTGCATTCTACGTACAGTAACGGCGAGCTGGCCGACTTCTCTCCGTGGTCTGAATCCCAAGACCCAAAGTCCAAGAACTCGTATACAGAAGCTTGTACAAAAAGTAATTCGAAGCAGTTGCTGTCAGCTGGCTCGGTGCCTTCCCTTCAGATTTCCAACCGTTTGCATGTCCCAGCGCAGAGGTGGAGTGCCATTATAAGCCAACCGAACAAAGAGAACTTGCATCAAGATCACATCTATAATTCGCTTGGGAGGAGAGTAAGCAGTGTAAAACCACAGGCATACAGCAGGTCACAGTCATCCTCCTCAATTGTGGTCAGCAGGTCTGGAGAGTCAATTGTATACACTAATGAAATTGACAAGAAAAAGCTCCATTCAAACAGGAACTTCCGATTCAACAGTCATCAAAGCCCTGCTATTGCTTCAGCGTGTACAGGGCCGGAGATGAGAAAGCAGATTCCTGAAAGCTGTTCAGATATGATTCTGCAGGATTCTCAAAAAGTCCTGAGAGTGAACGGGGCCTCCCCTCTGACAGCACAGATGGCCACTCAGAACTACTTTTCGAATTTCAAAGATACTGAAGAAGGAGAAGGGGATGATGATGACTATGTTGAAATAAAGTCTGAAGATGAGGGATCTGATTTGGAGACTTCTCAGAACCAAACAAGGAAATCAGATCCTAAACTGCGTAATGCAGACTCTGCTCCTTCTGAAACGCTCTGCGGCAAAACTGTCTCATGTACTCCTGCAAAGTCTGCCAGCAGCAAACACGCGCTTACCCCATATCTGACTGCATATAGTGATTCGGATAAGCTGAATGACTACCTGTGGAGGGTACCATCTCCTAATCAGCAGAATATTGTACAGTCTTTAAGGGAAAAATTTCAGTGTCTCAGTTCAAGTAGCTTTGCTTGATGCTTTCAGTAATTTCTAGCTGTACTGCCTTATCATGACAGAGTATATACTAGGACAATCAGTACTGGCATTATGTATTTCCACAATATTACACAATCAGGCATTGTATCACAATAATATTGTAAATAGATGTGAAATGTATCTTTTTTAAAATGGTTTAGAATCCTGAACATGAAAAAGGCCATATGTGCACTGTCTGGAGTTCCCTCTCCATAGCGCAGGTGGACTTCTCATCTCCTATTGGATCTTTGCATCTCTTCCCTTGTTAGGTGTCATAACTCCCTCATTCTTACCATCAAACCAGGTCTGATACCATTTGATTCTTAAAGCATTTTATCACATGGAAACCTTAGTATTTGGACTTTCCGGTTGGTTTCCGGTGTTCTGCCTCCAGAATACCTGTGTGATTACTCTGCCTACATATAGGAGCATTTAGCTGAGTAGCTGCTCCTGTGACTGGGCAGGGTTCTGGTAATTACACCAACAGACAACGTACATAATGGCACATACTTTTTTGCACATTACTTTTCGTCAGACAGATTCCAAGTGTGTGGGACCAATACATATGCTACATTACTTTAGAACAAGCTTCTTACATTTTAAACAAAATCTGGTCCTAGTGCTTGATAGCGTCTTCTACTTCCTGGAACTTATAGTAGGCAGAAGACAAGTAGTGGTAGCTTTTTATGAGAACCTGTGCATGTGACATAGTCCTTGTCTGAGGAGTGGTTCTGGCAATAGAAGGGGAGCTCCACTGCTTATGAAGAGGACTAGACCAGTTTTAGAACCTCCAGTGATGGTGGTGTTTGTGACACACAAGGGATATTTGAGTATCTTGTAGCTCAGCACCCAGCATTTGAAAGCTGTTGTGTGAGAGAGTGCAAAGTAGGTGTGACCTACTTGGGTGTTTGTTCAAGTCCCAGTGTGTCAGTAACCCTGAGAGAGAATGAGGCTTGACCAGGTACTTGGGTGAAATACATGCCCTGAAAACATGGGGCATGTTTGGCCCATAGCATGGTTCAGTGACACTGGTGGTTGAGTGACAAGCAGCTGTCCCCAGGGCATGCATCTCCTGTAGTAGGAAATGAGCCTTCCTCACAGGCAGAGGTAAAAGGTGTGTTTGCTAAATCAGCCAGGGCTAACTCTAATCCAATTTGTGTACAATAATAGTAGCTTAAAAAATGAGAATACATTCCATTATTTTGCAAATAATGTATAGAATAAATGCTGCCATTTAGAGCAAAGACAGGCTTTCCAGTATGATGCACACTTACTCCCCTTTGTCATCTTTGTTGCACAGCTTTGGATTCTGTTACTTGAAAACATTGTACTTAAAGGAAAGCCTGAATACGTCTACACTGATCATTTTGTGTGACTGTTGTTCTTTTTTGGTGCTTAAATTCTTCAGCTTACATGGATAAAGCCAGTACCGAGTTAAACATATCAGTAAACAAAGGAGTTTCATCAAAATATTATTTTTACTAACCACTTATCACTCCCCTAAGCTACAGAGCACTGTACTTTTGGAACAGCTGACTACTACATTGGTCACCATGAGGAAAACCTGAAATTCAATGTACAGCTAACTACTTGTCGACTAAGATTTGAGGACTTGAATTTATTAGAATGGATTAAATTATTTACCACACAAATCTTGCATTGGCTATAAATTGTTATTTTGAGGGCTGGTTGGTCATGGTACTTGCTAGCTCATACCACAGGGATACTTGTTACAGTCAGCACATCCACTGTGATAGGACCCGTATCTAGTAAAATCTGACTGAGGAATAATGTTGTACATATTTAAGATGCCGAGGTGTAGCAGAGCCCGTATTTATTTAATATAGCTTGTAAAGTATTGTAAATATGGATAGAAGGTAAATCTGTGCGCGCACGTCTAGATTGGTTTAAACGGCTTAGGGGAATGTTTAACTCGCATCTCATGCAATCAGTGGAGTTGGGAGGGAGGGGTAAAAAAAAAAAACAACAACAAACAGAAAAAGGGACTTCTACTAGCATTGTAACTTCTCCCAGGGACCATTTCATACTATTTTTAATAAACGTTGAGTATGCAAAAACTTTGGGTGCTGTTCTTTGCGGAGGGCGAGGGAGGAAGGCGATGGGTTCCGCCCGTCGGAGCTGATGTTTGGAGGTGAATCGGTGGTGATTTGGTTTTTTTGTTTTTTTTTCGTTGCAAAGAAGCGGAAGCGAAAGCCGCCGAGCCCCGGGGCGGGGAGCAGCGGGGCGAGAGGGCAAGGCGGTGCTCCAGCTCCGCCCGCCCCCTCGTCCCGCTCCCCGTCCCGGCCCCGCCGCCGTCGCCGCCGCTGCAGCCGCCGGTGCCGGAGCGCTGCGGAGGGATGAGGAGCGCGGCGCTGCGGCGCTGCCTGGCCCCGGCGCTCACCGCCGCGCTGCCGCCGATCCGCGGGCTGTGCGGGCGGCACACCGGGGGTGGCGGAGCGGCGGCGGCCGCCCGGTAAGAGGCGCACGTGGGGAGGCAGCGCCGGCTGATGCAACCGGGGGTGATGGTGTGGGCATGGAGGGAGGGAGGGAGGGAGGGAGGGGTGAAGGGGATCTTGGGGGATGCTGCCTGACCGGGTGCGTCGGGTTGGGTTTTCGGGGGGGGGTGGAGGGGGCTGGCCGTCGTAGTGAAATGCCCCCCTTCCCCCGGAACCACTGGGTTGGGTTGGTTTTTATTTTGCCGTGGCTTCTGGTTTTGGGGCGTTTTGAGAGCGAGCGGAGCAGCCGTTTTGTGGTGGTGGTTCAGGTGAGGCTGTGCGCAGAGGGGTTCCTGGAAAAACGTGTCCCTCCTCGCCCTCGCCTCCCCGATTCAACCTTGGCCGGGATGGTTTGCCACGGCGTGAATTGGTCACTGACTTCTGCAAGGGGCACGGTACGAGATGTCAAAAATCCACTCTAGGCTGTGTTTTCCTCCGTCTGTCTTGCTTGCTGTGGGGAACAAACACACAGACATATTTCAGGGGGTCTCTTCCTCTGCTGTTTAAGTGTTGTCTGCATGTGCAGAAGGTAACAGATGAGAGCCAACAGCCACTTACCCAGAATTTTTTTTCCAGAAAGCATTCCCAGTGCCTGGCTGTCACCAGTTTTTCCAAGAAGCAGTGTGGCAAACAGAGCTCCTCTGTCTCCCTTCTGCCGGAGGTTTTGAATGGCATCCATGAAAGTGGATGGTCTGCTGCTCTTGGGGCTGGTGTTAAGCTCTGCCAGCCCCAGATGTAAAAGCCTCTGTATCCGGCCGAGGGTATGGAAACAAAATGCCCACCTGAGCTGAGAGTGCAGGGTGGTGGTTCCCTGGTGCAATTCCTGTGGTGGGGCTGGACGAGCCTTCTCATGAATTAGCAGTCTAGCTATAATGTTTTGGGCATGTCAGAGCAGTGACGCAAATAGCTGGGGGAAAAAAAAAAATTCTCTGTGTGCTGAATACCAGCCCTCAGAGTTTATATCCAACCATAATTTTAGCGATTAAAAGCGTGTGTGCCTAAGCATTTATGTTATATTGCTGACTAACGTAAGTTTCTGCTGACTAATATTAGGAAGGTTTATTTTGTTTAAGGTTTGCTTGTTATTGTGTTGCAGCAAAATCACCGAGAATGCAAAGAAATCCTTGGCCTCTCTTAAGAGACAAAACCCTCAGCTTGAGCCAACACTTGCCATTATTCAGGTAAGGTACCTCTATATGCTCACTGGATCTCCTTTGCTACCACTCATTGCATAAGACTTCAGAAGCAAATGATGCAGAAAGTAACTTTTTTTTTTTTTTATAAAGAATATTATCTGCTTTATTATAAAGCAAAGCAATAGGAGGAGGTAATTCCACCAGACTGTAGACTGCCCTTTTCTTCAGTTCTGAAACAGCCACAGCAAACTTCAGACTGTGGGAAAGCTTTGCAAAGGAAAGGGATGATTTTATCCCTTCCTCCTTTTGCTAACATAGTCTTCCCCACTGTGAGTATGGATCACTTTTTCTCACAGCTTGTCTAAGTTGATTGGCATAGTTGTGTTAAAGCGGTTGTCCTCGACCTTTATTTAGCTGGAAGCTTTTTTTGCAATCCTGAACAAAGCGTTTATGTGCCTGAAAGCGTGGGCATCTCTTCACCTCCCACCCCTGAAATAACATCGCCAGGGTTAATGAGAGACCCTGTTGCTTCCTGTCAGCCTTGTTCCCTTTGGGCAGCTGCAGCTTATCACTGTTACTGCTGTTCTAAGGAGAGGAAAACCGTACTGAAAAGTCCCAGTCAGCTCAGAAGGGCCTGAGTGAAGTAAATGCCTTGTGTAAAGTGTCAACATCCTGTAGAAGCAGCAGCACTTTAGGATGTGAAGGAATCTTGCAGTAATTGAAAGCTGTTGTTTTACTAATGCCATGAAGAGCTTTCCTTTCCATCCCACTTACGCAGGTATCTTTGAGACAGGCAATCAAAATCAGAGATGAGGATTGCTTTCCCTGCAAAGCTGAAAGATGTTCCTCTTTAGATTTCTTAAGGTTTCAAAGCCGAGAAACTAGGGATGTTTGTCATTCAGAGTGGGACCCAGAGCCATGCAGGCAAAATGTCTCTGTACTATTTCTTAGGATAGTGGCATTGGTTTTGAGTGGGCACACACTGAAACTCTGACCTAGTAGGTTTTAATTTTAAAACCCGATTGTAAGTATTTTCTAAGTACTTGTAGTGAATCTAAGTAATGCAACAACAGCTTTATTTCAGTAGGTCTTTTAGTGAGGCTGTCTGAACAGGTTCTCTCATCTCTCACCCTCCCTGGTAATTGCATTTAATGTTTTCACAAAGCCTTCTAAGGCTATAAGCTTAAAGACTGCTAGAAAAGCAGTGGTGACCCATCTTCTCAGTGCCCTGTTGTTTCTCACTCCTGTTTTGTCTTCATCCAGTTGTACTATGAGCTAGACTGGGGCTGTAATCTACCCCAGCCCAAGAGGTCTGAAGAGGCTTCCTTTAAACCACATTCATCCCCTAAGTCTGGTTTTCTGCATCACCACATGTGTGTTTTATGCTGACACAAGGGAAGGGATGTCCCTCTTGTCCCTGTTTAGGCTACTTGATTTGCATCATGAGGTGGCTGTACGAATATATGGCCTAGATCCTTCTAGGTGAAATTCCACCAAGCTACATTCTCCAGTTGTCAATCACCCTAGCTCTAGTCTGGTTGTAAGGATTGAAGCAGAGCTCATTTTAAATGTGTATTTGGTGGTGCAGAGAAGACTTGCTTTAGACTACAAATGCTCTTGTGTGCACTGCTCTACCAGGTAATGTGGGCAGAGCCTTAGGATTCATGCTGCTCTCTATATGCCTCATTGCACCTAGAGGAACAGAAGAAGGGCAGCAAAATTATCTCCTTTTACAATCACTCCTGGGTAACAGCAATTGGCATCACATGGCGCCACCTCTTCAGCAGTACAGGGAATGAGGATTTGTAGACTGAGCCTGCTGTGGAATGATTTTAGGACTGTTCTTTTCCTCTTGAGTCAACTGAACCTGAATTGATACTGAGATTGATACCTGTGTTGCTTATTATTCATATTGAACGTTGGTTGAATCTGTGCAACAGATTCTTGGGTGCTGCTTAATTTTGTTGAAGCTGAAAACTAAAATGTAGCACCAGGATCCTATTTAGCAATGGAGCTGTTGCCCTGCAAATCTCAGTGATCCTCTGCATTCCTCTGTTCTGCTCTTATGCTATTCATCCCATGTGCTGAGCTCTGGCCTCACCTGTGCTGCTCCATGGTTTTGATAGGAGATGGTTCAGGGCAGTTTTCTGCACACACAGAAGATAACTGTTCAGCTGCCAGGTGCTGCAGCATCAGGGACATTGCAAGGAACAGTGTGGTCTCACCAGTTGCTCCATCCCAGTGAAACCTATGGAACACTCAGTATGGGCGTGCAGTTCCGCATTTACTGGCATAGGGGAGCAGCTGCTGAGCTGTCCTTTGACCTGTCTCTTTTTCCCTTTCTGCAGTGTAAGCTCTGCACAGTGTTCCCACTGCAGCAGCCTCTGTGCTGCTGCAGGGAGGGAGCTGGGGGATGGAGGGCAAGGCTTCCTTCCCACACAGGAGCTGCCCCTTACTGTGAAGCCTGTCCTTTTAAATGCTCTTTTGTTCACTATCACCAGTCTTGAACTATTTGGGATTAATAGGGATGACCTTCTGCTTCTTTCTTAGAATTACTAGGCTTTTTTATTTGTTCCAATACCAGTAGACACAAACATCATCGCTATGTTTTTTGCATAGACATGTGCATTAGTGTACTCACATTTTTTAATGTATCATTTTAAAACTTGGTTTCTCTTTTGTTCCCCAAGGCACATAATGATCATTTGATTCAAGAAGCAAACAAGAACTTTGCCAAAGAGGTAAGCTTCAGCCGATACATGTGTTATTAACCATGAGCTACTTGCCTTTGGTAATTTTAAGCATTTTCTTTCGAAAGGTTGGTCTACGCATTATTCACGTCTGTCTCCCTGAAGGCTGCAGCAAGGATGAGGTAACTGAAATACCTGAAGGACTCTTCCTTCTTCGCTTTTGTCATAAACTTGTATTTATTGCTGACACTAATTATTACTTTGACTGACCTCCGTTAACTCAAATTAGGTTTGCGATTGCCTTAGTTCAGATAACAAGTATTATCTCCCTCACTGGCAAGAGTGGGGAAAAAAATTAATGGGTTTGTCTTCTGTCCCCTGGCAAGCTGGGGCAGAATCCATAGAGTAACGTTTTGGTTTTGTGTCTGGTGTTTAACTACAGCATCCCCTCATACTAGCATGCATATCCTGTCTCCTGCAGTTACTCTTGTGACTGTACCTAGTTCTTGCCGAAGTTATTCAGGGAAATTAAAGATTAATGGACTTTTTTATTTTGGGGGGGGGAAGAGGAGGGCAGCGGGGAAGGAGCTGAAGTTGTCTGTTTATTAGTGTTTTAATATTTAAGTATGTGTTAAAAACAAACATCCACCCCAAATCACTAGAGGACTGAATTCTTTACCTTGTTGAAGGCACAGCACTTAATATCAAGTATGTTTTAAATATAGCAAACCATCTGAAAGTAAAACTAGTGAAGGAATGTATAGAAAAAGATGCCACTGTTTCCACCTGGCCTCCTTATGCTTGGCAAGTTTGATAATCCTGCAGTTTGGGAGTCTTGTGTATTATTTTGTATTCTATACACTTTGTTTTTAAAATGTTACTGGCTTGCAGTGTAATCTCAAGAACTGCTTCTAGGTATATTGAGAGTAATATACTGTGAAGTTTTGTAGATTATGGATAGTGAGATATCCATTTTAAGAATGAGCTTTTGAAATGAAGAACAAATACACTTTATTGTTGGTAAATGTGTTTTATCTGCTGAATAACACAGTAGGAAACAGGTAAAATATACTGATTATGCAGCAGTATTTGCTGTTACTTTGAAGTAATATCCTAAAGAGTGATTGAGCTGTATATTTAAAGAGAAAATTGGTGTCTTTTTGTTATTTGAAGTAAGTTACATTCAATAAAATTTGTAATGGTTTGCTTACTCTCTCGCTTACTATGACAAAGTTTTTTCATGTTAATATTCACAAGCTTGTGTTGCCTGGTGTGGGAAGGTAGGTGGGAAGGAGGTACTGTGTGCGTACAGTAAAGGCAAGCTAATGTAAAATTGCTTTATCCTGCATGAGTTATAAGTCATTTATATGCTGTGATGATGGAACGCTGAATTAAAGATGCAATTAAATTGGAAAACTGAATTATTTTCCCAGGAAGTGAAAATATAATTTGAAGTTTTAGTTGCTACATTTTGTAGCATATAGGGATTTTTTTAAGTAAAACATGGGTGTTTTCAGATCCATATTCTGGTATATACACTCATCCTTTCCATTGCAATGTATACCAGCCCTGTTGCTGTCAAATGGCACAGGACCTTAATGTGTACACCTCTCTTTGCCTCAGGAGTCAGCAACTAAAGAGGCATTTCTATACCACTGACATGCTTGTATAATCTTTGTTTAGCATGGGAGTAGCACATTTACTTGGTTCAGAGTTGCAGATCTATCTCCCACCAAATTCCCCTGGCTTAATATTGATTACATATCACATGTTTGGTTAATAGAGTTCACAATTATATCGAATAGTTGACAAGAAAAGCATTTTAAGAAGGCTTAGTATTAGTTAAGGAAAAAAAATCCATTTATTTTCTATTGGATATTAATCCAATTCAATTATGCAGTTTTGTGATGATTGCACACTGATTTTATATATATATGATGGGAAGACATGTTTACACGAAATTTCTCACCTGAGAACTTTGGCATGTTTTATTCCATTGTATTCTTCCTGGTCACAGCAGAATAGCATATATCACTATGGACCACGATACACTTTAGAGGGTAAATAATCAAGGAAAAATAGTACAGTCTCAGATGTCAAATATGACCAATTATAAACCACTTGAACTTGCATCTGGTTCAGTATTTGAAATTCTTAAACTTTTATGCAGTACCTTTTCAACAGAACAGTTCTTCACCAGGCAATTGTCAGCTCTTAGGATAAGGGTGTTTTGAGAAGGAAAATTGGTAATGATATATGCTGGTTTAATAAAATTAATTTTCCTATGTATAATTGTTTTTTCTAGTGTTACAACTTTTTGTCCATGTTCTGTTTTGGGACATAATCTGGTCCAATTTTGAACTACTTTTTAATGAAGGTGTCTTGTTTCTAAAACATCTTCTGAGGCCGTTACAGTGATGAGCTTTTGCTGAGATTTGGAATGGTGAAAGAGCAAATGCATTTGGCAGCATAATGTCACATAATTTGTGTTTATTTTGCAAGATGTTTAGAGTAGAGTCAGGTAATTTGGTAAACCGTGGAAATATAAACCGAGGAAAGCAGGTTTTTGCCTTTTCATTTAGAAGTTGCAGTAATATGCAAGGGAAGCAAAGGTGGCCGTCAAGTAATTTTTAAAAAAATACAGATTTTTACTCCCTTCTAACTAGATTCTCCTTTTAACTGTTGTTCTGATTTTTAATCCTTTTTATTAACTTCCTAGATTGTCAGTGAAATCTTGAGACTTAATGAGGATCCTAACGTGCAGGGCCTTGCACTTGACCTCCCAGAAAGCTTATATAGCAGTAAGGTATTAAATGCTGTGAAACCAGAGAAGGACGTGGATGGGTAAGTGAAGCACTGAGAAATAATATTAGCAGACACAAGGCTGATGGTTCTGTAAAATCAATTTTCCCCTGTGCTTATCATTAGTGGATTGCTCAGTTAATGTGTCTAGCTGTGCTATTGAGCAGTGATAAAAGATGCCTCTGAATCAATGAGAAGTCTTCTGCTGAAGTAATTATGATCATTATCTTTTTAATCTTTACATAATGTATATTCAGGACATGGTCTTTTCAAAAAAATAAAAACTCAAGTTGTGATTTACTGATGATACTTAAGGTATTTCAGTACTTCAGTAATGAAAATGGCAGTCACAAAGTGCTGAATTCTCAAAAGAAGGATTGATGAAAAAATTACAGAGAAGGTTTTTACTTCCTTACAGCACTCTCTCATAGTGAGAGAGTAGGCCATAGTTTGGACCCATTAACACAACTTTCCAAGTAGTGTCTCTCTCTGAAAAGACCAGTGGTGTAATTTAGGTGTCTGAGTTACCATTTTTGCTGCTCTTGCAGCCTTACTGCTCTCAACTGCAGGCTATTATCAGATTTTTTTTATCCCTTTCACTTTTTTTTTTTAATGCCAGGAAAAAAGATCTGAAAATCTGGCAAATTAGTTAGCTTTCCGTTATCTGGAGGTGCAGAAAATGGAAAATTTGGAGCATCCTTGTGTTTGAGAGAGAATGCAGTGCAGTGTGGAAACACTTGAGTTGCCCATACTGAGCCAACCTGAGCCCAGAAGGATGTGCTGCCCCTGGCTTGGCTTTGGCAGCGCTGATCTGGTCTCGCTGCAGCCACGGAGGTGTTTTGGCCCAATGGACCATCGGTAGCCTATCATGACAAGTAAAGAACTGCCTATGTATCGTGGGATCGTGTTACTTATTCAAACTTACAGATCCCTTTCCCGACCTCTCTTGAGACTCAGTGTTTGTCTAAATGGGATGTGGGATGATACAAATTAGCTGCAGTACATGACTATCAAAGGATTTGCTTTTATGAGATATGTTTGCCCTTGGGATTAGCTGTTAGCCATGTTACAAGCATTACTACAGATTTATGTTGCACAAACTTCTTTTTTGTTAAATTGCTATATTTTTCCACTGCAGATTATCCAGTGTAAACCTAGGACACTTGGTACGTGGCGATGTCTGTGATTGTCTAGTTCCTCCTACAGTGTGTGCTGTGATGGAGCTTCTTGAAAATCTAGGTGAGTACTTCTATCGTAAACAAGAATGAATTTTAGCATAATTGTTTTTCTCAGTTTTAATCCTTACTGGGAGTCAAATATAATCTGGCTTGTTGTGTTTTCTAGTTTGTGTTGGATTCCCACCTGACATATGTCTCCTGCTAGTGAGGAGCCTCAGTGAGATCTGAAGGTAGCATTTGCAGAAATGGGTCTCGTTCCTACAGATTTTAGATATTAGGTAGGGATTAGCTACCATCAACAGATTTAATCTCACTAAAGCCACACAAGACATACAAGTCTTCCAAATGAAAAATATAAACGTTACTTGGGGATTTCACTTGACAGTTTTGATTAGTGTGAACAGTTGGGGAAACTCAGGTCTGCCTGTAAATTGCCGCCGGGCTAATCTTTTGGTTTGGGTGTTGTTGTGTAAGTGCTGTCACTGAAATGGCAGATTTAAACAAGCAGGTTTACAGTGGGTGAAGACGCTGTTAGTTTAAAGCACTGTTTCAGAAGTTGCCTGCCAACAATTTGTAATTGTTGAAATGAGGATTTCTGTAACAGAACTGTAAACAGGAGGTCAAATATACTTAGTAACAACTGAGAATGAAAGGATTTGTGCAAAATACCAGAAAGCCAGAAGAGCAGTATTTGCTTACTAGAAGGAGTTGGAGGGTTACCAGGAAACAACTTAAAACCTGTGGTTTGTGTCACTGCACAGGCTCCAAAAGACTTGCTGTGCTGGCACAGCTGCTGTGGTTGTGCAGGCACACAGTGCTGTCCTGTTGTGAGCCGCTTTGCTGGCACTTCTGGAGGGTTTCGGCAGTGAGTGGCCTGCTCAGAGTGGAGGTCCATGTAGCTGCTCCAGTTCTGTGCCCGGTGGAGCCTGGTGCTTATGCCTTTGCAGTTGAGGGTGGCTGAACAGCTTGCCTTGTGTCATGCAGGTGGAAAGACGGTGCTGCTGGTGGGAGCCAATGGGGCAGTCGGTGCTGCCCTGCAGAGCATGCTGCAGAGGGAGGGAGCAGCGATTGTCAGCTGCCTGTGGAAAGCCCCACAGCTGCAGAATGAGGTGAGTGCTCTTCTGGCTGCTCAGGGTCATCATGCATCCCCACTATCCGAGCATCCCTGGCAGCAGTCACAGGTGGCAATGGGTCTTGCTGGTAACCAATGTGGGTTAGGATCTTTTCTCCTTCCTGCTTTCTCAGAAATGGTGCAAACACTGGCCTCTACCCTCTACCAGAGTTCAGAGAAGGGCAGTGAAGCTGTTGAAGAATCTGGAGCACAAGTCTTATGAGTAGTGGCTGAGGTAGCTGGGAGTGTTAAGTCTGGAGAAGAGGGGTCTTAGCGGTGACCTTAACACTCTCTGTAACTACCTGAAAGGAGGTTGTAGCCAGATGGGGATCATCCTCTTCTCCCAGGCAACTAGTGAGAGGATAAGAAGACACAGTCTTAAGCTGCACTTGGGAACATTTAGGTTGGACATTAGGAAGAAGTTCTTCACAGAAAAGATGATTAGACATTGGAATGGACTGGCTAGGGAGGTGTTTAAAGAAAGACTGGACATGGTACTTAATGCCATGATCTAGTTGAAATGGTGGTGTTCTATCATAGCTTGGGTTCGATGATCTCGGGTCTTTTCCAGCCTAATTGATTCTTTGATTCTGTGAATCTTACATGTAACAGCAGCTGCTGTAATTTCGTTATTTTACACAAGGAGCTGTTAGAGAAAGAAGTGTTAGCTCTCTCCCTTTTACTTTCTCCAAGAGAAATGCCCTCTTTCTTCTTGTCCTGTGATACTGTCATCTGTGTGAAATTACTGCCATTGAATTTGTGCCTTAAAGGTTTGCAAATACTGCATCTTTTGGGACAAGGAAGATTCCAGTCTTTATCTTTGAAGAGAACTGTAAAAGGATTCCAAGAAATTCAGGAACCTTAAACTGAAGGATTTCATTTACATAGTCTCCTCGGTTGCTTTTTGCAGAGCTCTTAGCCACAGCTTAGAAGTTGGTATGACTTCCTGTCAGACTTCTCAGTTTGTTCCTTAGTCCCAAATGCGTTGTCCCTGGGGCATGTGCAGCGGGCTTCAGATACTGGCTGTGGGAGTGCACATTACTCCAGGGCCTGGTTGCCAGTGGCTGTAGGGGTGAGGTGCCGGGGACAGCTCTAGTATTTGACAGCTCGTACCACAGGGTGGCAGCCAAGGCAAAATGATTGTGTCACACCTCCAGGCTTTGGAGGCAAGGACAGGAGGAGGAAATAAATTTGAGCAGCTGTGATAGAAAGTTCTCTGGCAAACTCTTGTTTTTACAGCTGCGTGTGTTTTTGTCAGGCTTGTCTCAGCTCTGGGCTTTAAGTGACTGACAGCACTTAGGAAACATATGCCTCTGTTGGAGACGGAGCGCTGTGAACTTGATCCTTGCCGTCTCTCATTCTTCAGTTATTTCTTGTTGCTTGGGGTTGTGCTAGAGGACTGCTTTGGGCTGGATGGTGACAGGGTGGCCAGAGGTGTTTCCACTGGTTCACAGCAAAAAATTTGGATTGAGCCCATAGCTGCTTGTGCAGTGCTGTCTATAGCTGGAGAGAAATCTGTTTCCTTCCATCCATGTGCTTTCCCATAATCATGCTTTGCTTTTTGGCATTCCCCATAGCTTACCTTTTGCAGCAGGTCACTGATGGAAAACAGAATGAGAGGCCTAAGTTTGAGGCTTTGCACATCAGTCTTCCCAGGTTTATTTTAACTTTTGGCAGTAAAGGAGTTTGTGCTTTGCCTGTGGGACTAATCAGCAGAGCTCAGGGGAAACCTGCTTTCCTCTTCCTTGCCTGCAAGCCTGGAGCAGCATGTCACCAGTAATCCCCAGAGCACTGCTGAATCTGTCTGGATGTACTCTGATAGTTAACTCTAGCTCCTTGATAAAATCTAAGGCGTTCAGGGAAAACGATCCTGTTTCATATTCCGAGAAGCTGCAGAGTCAGAAACTGAGCACAGGTTTCCTACTGAACAATGAGGTACTGCTGTCTCGTGGCAACCTGTATTTGAAGTACAATGTTTTTGGATAACATCATATTCTTCTGCTAGTTTAAAATGCCAATTAAATAAAGACAGTTTAAAAGGTTCACAAGGTTTCTTCTCATGAGGGTTTTTTTTTATTTGAATTTCAAGTAAGAAAAGATGTTAGTCAATGTTGAGTCTTTTCCAAGATTTGGAAGAATTAATTCATGTTTTGTTTTTCCTGCACATATGCTAACTTCTCCTTTCTCTCAATACGATGCCTCTACAGTAGCAGTCTGTGTGCTGTTGTTTGGAGGTACTACCAGTGGTAGCATAAAAACTTAATTTATGAAGTGAGGGATGAACTTACAAAGAGCATAAACTTTTCAATGGTGTGCATTTGTTTCACAATGTATAACAGGAAAGGAACATTTTATCTTAAGGGTAGATGTATATCATTTGTATTAATCCATTGGCCAGGCCAGTTTGCACTGAAGCACTAACCCTGACCTTAATGATGTAATGCCTTTCTTTATTGCTTACATGCACTTTTGCAAAAATATTTTGACAATAATCAAGAAGAAGGTATGTTTTAGTCCACCTTAGGAAAAGTCTAACAATGTAGGGATAGCTCTTCTGGCAAATAGCATAATGCCATCTACCATCTGACTTAATGTGCTCCTTTAAGGCAAGTCTTTTCTGTCCCATGGCAGGAAAAGGGAATGAAATAAGTAACAGTACTTTTCATTTCCTTGCTTTGAGAGGAATGAATAGTGGACCCACTTTAAATGTTCTTTTTGCTCCTCACTTCATGTTTTGTTAAAGTGAACAGGTTAATATTTCTTTTTGTTCCATTTCAGGTTTGCTTGACTTCATTTCTTAAAAATAATCATCATGGCACAGCTGAGCCATGTCCTTCAGCACTCTTGAGCTTCCTGGCTTTTCAAATAAAATTACGAAGGAAAGAAAACATTTCAGAAGGTTCTGACACATCTGTGCATTAGTTGCCATGAGGAAACATTGTTCTTTTGCCATTGATACGTTCAATGTAAAAGAAATTATGAAGATACAGACGTAAGCATTTTTGGTGGAAATTGTTAAGATGTTATCTATCTGTTAAGCTTTGTGTAGATAACTCTTCAAAGTACATTCTGCGTTGTGCTTAAGAATGCCCTAGTGAGATACTTTCAGGAACATCTCCCTTGTAATGTTAAAATGGGACTACCCAAAAGTCGATTCAGAATTACAGGTGAAGAATGGGAATGGATTTGCTTAATCCCTTATTATGATAGAATTATGCTTTCAAGTTTGAAAGGAGGTTATCAAGTAGATTCATATTGAAAAATACAGATTATTTCCTTGTCAAAACATGGGCAATACTTAGTACTTGTAAGAAAACAGTTTTGTTTCAGTCATCTAAATTCAGTCAGTCATTATTTCGGCATGTCATCTTTAATGTAGCCCATATGTGAACCACATCATGCCTGATATAAGAGAGCTGCTATCCTACAATTTTATTGTAAAAAAACTGAAATTTTTTTCTATATAGGTATAATTCGGAATATAAAAGTTGCTTGCAAAAGCCTGGTTGAGGAGTATGAGAGTGGTTCAGCTGAAGTGCTGAATGGGAAGTTCCTTTCCAACTTGAAAAAGAACTTTTGGCCACAGTCTACTTTTCTTTACAGCCAACGCTTAAGTTTCAAACTCTTAGACATCTCTTAGCCATTTACTATCCTGCTTTTGCTGTCTTGATAAGAGCAAGAGTCTTGATACGAGCAGAAAAATGCATTTCATATTGTAAGCGTGAAAGAACATGAGACCTGGTATATGGATCCCATAAGAGGAGAGGAGAGGGAAGCTGCATGAGAGTTTCTAGTGATGATGATGTAGACAAAGTATTTCTACTTCAACATTTTATGCACATCACCTCTGTTCCTTGTAATTTTGAAATTTATCCCCCTGTCTGTAAGCTAGAGGAACAGCTGCTAAAGCAGTAGGCTTGAGCCCACTGTAGAGATGTGAACTTGATTTTCATGTGCACTGTGTAGAGCAAGTGCATTCAGGCTGATGTGGTAGGGAAAGGGTGGTCAGTGTCTGGGCAAGAAGGTGGTAGCAGGGAGCTGGTGGCTGCTTGCCCTTGCTCATCCTTGAGGAGTCTGACCTGGTGGGAGTGATCAGAGCAGACCATGATAGTTGTTCTACTTGGTTACTAATGATTTGCAAACTCTGAACTTCCTGAGACAGAGCTAGAAGAAATCACATAAGGAGAACATACCTTAGTGAAAATAGTACCTGAAACTAGTCACTGACTTATAAAATTTTCAAAATTTCAGGAAGTAGCGTTGCTGTGATTGAATTGGAACCTGATCCCTAAACTGATGTGCATAAAGATTTTTTTGCTAAAGAGAGTTGTGAAAAAACTTTTAATCAGGTTCCTGTTCCTCATCCCATCTCTTAAATTTTATATGCCATAGCTTCATACCCAGGAAACGAGGGCTTTTACATTTCAAATACTAATTTCAATTTTTATTTTGTTCAATCATGTATTTAAAAATGGCCTTTGTAGCAGTCACTTTTAACTATGGGAAAATGAAATTTTTATGCAGAACTTCACAGCAAAATGGAGCTTCCATTATCTGTAATAGACAGCTACTTTGTACCATTATCATTAAATACTTGGCTGGAAAGTCTGTATTGTTGTTTTAACATTTGGTGTTCTGTCTTGGGAATGGGTGGGGCTTCTTAATCTGCTTCTACTTAAATCTTGGTGGAGAGAATCATGTTTTGTTATGAGACAAGGTTTCAGATTATTTGTTGGCACAACTATTCCCAACTGAAAAAATATTTACCGGTGAGAAGGCAAGATACTACTGGACTGTTGGCTTACTTTGTCTTCAGCCTATTGCCTAGCACATTAAGGAGGGTTTGGCATGATGCTTGTCATTCCTTCCTCTAGCCAGTCTGGTGGGACACAGCCTTGCTGTCCAGGGAGCGTGGGGCAGGCAGCCATGTGTTCTCCCTGGTGGGTATCTCCTTGACCTTCTGGCTGTATCTCCTTGATCAGATGCCTGTAGCATCTAGTTCCTGTCAGATGTGTCCTCTGTCCAGGGACTGTGCGGTGCATTTGCTAGGGAGGTTGAATGTGATGATTTCATAGGACTTTTCCATCTCTAATGTCTGGGATTGGTTGGAGATAACTCTGCACATGCATCCCAAGGCTTGCTTCTTGCTTTAGTGTCTAAAAAGGCATCAAAAGAGAGAAGGGCAAGGGAGAAAAAAAAAAAACAGCAGAGGAGGCATGGGCACAGCTTCTTGCAAGTGAAACCAAAATGCCTTGATGGCGTTTTGGTTTTACTTGCCATCTTCTAAGGACACCCAAAAGTCTATAAACAACTATTTTGCTTTCAGGGAACTTGCTCTCCCAGTTTCTGGATATACTTTTTTAAAATGCTCACAGGGAGAAACAATTTCTGTGAAGTGTTTGTGATATGTATTTTATCAACTCTGCAGGAACTTTTTCAATTGTTGCACATAAAATATTATTTTCTTTGTGAAATAAGGAGAAGGAAATCACATTGGGGAAGACTGAGAGATCAGTGTTTCTTCAACCCACAGGACAACTGTTTTGCTGCCATATGATACAACCTTTTTCATGGAGGAGGTGGTGCAGGGCTATGAGATAAAAGGTTCAGCTGGTTTTCTGGTAAATTTATGGGTATGTGCAGTGTTAGCTATCCAAACCGGTTTTAACATTGGCTGCAAAAATAATTGTGTTCAGCTGTTAAGAACATTTTTCAACATTAGGGTCAGTAGTCATAGAGATGAGTATTTGGCCCCATCAGTTGTTTTCTGGCATTAAAGTTACATTGAGTCAATTCTGTCATAAGTATGTTGGCTGAACATTCGTCAAAATTATTACTTGTTGCATACAGCTCTCAACTGGTTCATCAATTCACAATACTAAGTGGTGTGCAAAGCTCTTAGTCCTTGTCCCAGAGGCTTTGCATGGGAAGGCATCCTGACTTCCAGTATGTGATTTCTTACCAAAAAAATGCTGTGGTCATGTAACTGAGAAAAATCACTGTTTTTCTCTGTGTTGATGTTGACTGTTGCAGCAGAGGTTGCCTCCTTTTGCTGAGCATAAGTGTGCCTTCGGCATAGTATTCTTGGTATACAAGTCATCGCAGCGTCTTTTTATCCAGATTTGCTTGCAGATTTCTCAGTATCATTTGACCTGATGCTGGTCAAGTATTGTGACTTATGTGGCCTTCTAGGAGTGGCATGTAAGCTGATATTCTCACCAGACTCAGGAGTGTGAGCAATTTGGATAAGGCTGAATGACTGCTTGCAGGCAATCACAGGATTGTTGTGAAACTTGTGACTGAAGCCTGGATCAACTCATTGCATTAGTCATTTGTCAAGCCAGTAAATCTTCTCCCACACTTTTGGCTTTGTTTCCACATGTGGATCTCTAAGGAGGGTTAGGCCATCCTTGCATCCTCTGAGGGGAAGATGGAACTTTTTTTTGTTTTCTGCCTTTTCCGCAGCAGTTATGCTCTTCTTCCCTCCTGGATGCTCAGCTTTGCCAAAAACCTGCTATCCTGACAGGATTTGTAGCTGTTCTTTCTTGGCAGGAGTGTTGGGCAGGGTTGCGTCAGAGCACTTTTGGCCAAAAAAGAAGCTGGAATGCTTGTCAGTCAGAAATCAATTTGTGAGGCTCACTGAGTTCGTTACACTTGGAATTAATTTACATTTGTTCAAAATATTACCAAAATCGCTGTATCTCTGAAATAATTTTTGCATTCAAGCAGAGTGCTGTGGCTTTCATAGTGAATCTTTTATACATGTGCCTCTGGTGCTGTCCCTTACCTCATGGTGATTCTTATAACTGGTACAGGACCCTACTTCAGAGGAGGTGGGAAAGAAAGGCACTTATATTATAACTTTGGTTATGAGAATTTTTGTCGTAACCATTTTTGCTCCAACATTTGCCAGGTTGAAGTAAATCACAGGCACTGATTAGCAAACGTGAACTGAGAAGGAAAAAAGATGTTTTAATTGGTATTCTTCAAAAGCATTGATGTTTGCAGATCAGGTCATCTTGCATTCCCATCAGCTGGCCTGGTTTTCTGCTGTCTGATAATCTGACTGTACTCTTTATAATTGCTTTTTTACTGTCATTCAGCCCTTCTTTTTTCTTAAGTTGCTCCAAGTTATCTTGGACTTTAGGACAACGATAGAACTTTTTATTTGGAAGGATGTAATCCCCTTCAAGTATTATTGATGCTGACTCTGACCTCACTCGCCTGATCTCACAGTTTGTTTACCTAACTTCATTTTAAATGCTATTGTTTTTAAATTTCAGGGAGGGTAAGAATTAAGCCATCAATTTGCTTTTTTTTTGTTTGTTTGTTCTTGTTGTCTATAAGTGCTTTCCTCAAAAGGCTATTGCTGTATAAGTCTGAATATCTTCAAGATGCATATTAAAGTATTTCTAACATTAAATGCTTGCTTTGTTTCTGGGGGGTGTTTTGGGGTGTCCCTAGCTTCGTCATGCAGATGTGGTGGTATTTGGCAGTATGAAACCCGATGATGTTCCTGTGAGCTGGATAAAGCCTGGAACCACCATTATCAGTTGTTCTCATGACCTGCTGTCAGGTAAGAGGCATTAAAGATAGCAATTCCTGCAAGTGATATACAGTGAGTCCCTGAGATGTGTGTGGCATCTTGGTGATAATGCAATGTGGTTAAAAACTGCATCTTTGGGAGGACGTCCTGAAAGGTGTGTATTTGTGTACACATGTTTCTCTGATGTATAAATAGAAAAAACATGTCAGGTGGGATAAGGAAGGTTGGAACAGATTCTTCATACCAGGATTGTTAAATAAGTGATAATCCTATGGATTCAGAGACTTCAGAGAGAAGACTTCTGGGTCATCAGCTCTTACTTAGTGCTGTTTTGTACAGTGTGTTATCCTGTTACTTCTGTGGTCTCGCCTGGAATATGGGAAAAAGAGAAGAAGGGGAAAAAACATCAGCTGTAAAGTGCTATGAAGCTGTCTGCAGAGAATGGTGCAGGAGGGAGTAAAGAAATCCTGTATAGCTAAGAAGAGGCAGAATGTCTCCTGCAGTAATTATTCCTACAAAAAAGAGTTTGGATTCACCTCCCTCCTCCCTAGTATAAAACACGGTCTTACATGGAGGAGGAATGGAGGAGAAAGACCAAGGGGCAGAGAAGAGGGGGAGTGATGTTACAGCAGTAGTACCTATAAATAAATAAATGAAAGGGAATCTCTCCTACTCATTTTAATTCTTCTAAGCAGAAACCTCTTATGCACCACACTTGGAGCGGAGGTGCAGGTCTGTTCTGGCAGGATGGGGATAAGCCAGTCCTTGCAACCTGAGCGGGCACCACTAGTGACTGGACTGTCCCAGCGCTATGTTGCCTGGTGCAAGTCCCACTTTTGGACACCTGATTCTCTCCTTCCATTGCAGAGGGAGTCTGAGCCTTCGGAGACCTAAAAGTTCTACAATATATGCTAAGTCTTTAGACTTAAATATCTTCATGCCTTAGTTGCTGTATAGAACTCCAGATAATATTAGCGTTTCCCTTCCCTGAAAGAGTGCTGTTAGAAAAACTGCATTACATGTCAAAGCAACATTCATTTTTTTAGGCGAGAAATGTAAGATTTGGCATGAGCATACATGTTTCTTTGCATTTTTCAAGTTGTAGCAGTGGGCTGTGTTAAGTACACAGCTGTGGTTTTTGGTTTTTTGTTTTTGTTTTTGAAAGGCAGCATGAGATTTTTATAATGATATAATTTAAGTAGAACTTATCTACCAAATATTTATCTGTCTTTATGGTTATGCTTTTGATGTTGTCAGAACCTAGCAAAAACTCCAAAATTATAGCAGAAATGCATTTTATCAGCTTTAAAAAATGCTGGTCTCAAAGCTTACTAGAGAGGTACATGAAACACAGGTGTCTGACAGGAAGAATGCACTTAGTTTAATTGCAAGATGTTTGTGAAAAGCCCATTGTGGAGCAGTTATGACCTTGGAGGAACAACTGAGTCTTATAACTGACTCTTCACTTTCATGGAATCTGGCTGAGGTGCTTGGAAATTGTTCTGAATTTTTTCTTGCTTTAGAAATGTCCAACTTAACATCTGTGGGGTCACAGGAGCTAAATGAAGCCTGAAAGCAATAATGGCCATGAAGCAACTTTAGTTCCTGCTAGATGGTGGTTGGATTTCTATCTTAAATGGGTGTATATGTAGTCTAACACACTTGCGTGTTTTAAAAGCACTCAAAATTTGCAAGGACATAGGTGAACTGGGGAAATATAATGATGTAAGCCAGGAGAGCAGAGCTACAAGTGCTCAATCCAAAGTGACAAAGTTCTTTTTCAAGTATTTTTTTAATCCAAGCAAAAATTTTTAAATTATCACAATTTTAAAATGTTCTAGCAATATTTTAAAAATTTCAAAATTTTCTAGGAGTGCAACATCTGCTGCTGTTGCACTAATGATCTTGGAATCAGGTAAGTGCTGGTAGTGTCTTGCAGGAATATACTTTAAATATAAATGTATAGAAATGAAAATAATTTTCTGAACAAAACTTAAGGATGCCAGAATTATTTGGGATTTGATGTCCAGTTCCTCTGGGGTCACTTGAAAGCCGAAGCCCATATGCTTTTAAGTATGTTGATAGGAAATTCAGCCATTTCCTCACCTCTTCTCTACTCTAAGCTGCATGAGCAGACAGGTCGTACATGTCAGTGGCTCTCACCCATCTGCACAATAGGGTACAATTCAGAGGAGGGATCACAATGTCTGTGGCTGATCTGACCATAGTCCAAAGCAGAGTGCTATTCCAGCTCCCATCTGGAATATTTATCCTAAGAGAGCTGTTGCAGTCCTGTGATTGTCTTGCTAATTCCATGTGTTCATGACTTTCACCTCTAGCTTTGCCTTCACCCCTGTAAAAGCCTGGTTAGTCATTTGTGGGGTGACTGTGTAGCATAGGCAGTCTGAGAGAAGTAGTTTATTGAAGGGAATTGTCTGATTCTGATATGTATTTACACGCACGCTAGCTCTGCCCTGATAAAAAAGTCATATTAAGCCAAATAACCAAAAAAGCCAAAATTTCTCTGTAAAGCAAAGCTGTCTGAAAGGGGTTTTAAACTCCATTTTTCCTACTTCGTTTGTCTCTTTGGCAGCTCTCCCAGCCTGGTCTCAAAGCAACAACAGTCAGCTTATAACTGTGGTAGACTGTTCCAGTAAAACTCTTCTGTCTGTATCTAAAGCTGAGCATCTCCACAAGATTATGTTGTTTCATTGTTTGTTTTTTTAATAGCAAGTGTTAATGTAAGTAGAAGGATTTTTCCAACACTTTCTTAATTGGAGTTTAATATAGGACTGTTACCTTCTGCTTGGTTGCCTTTGTCACTGATGTGTAGGTGCCTGTTGGCAAGAAAGTTTGAGAAAGGATTAGGAAACACACAGAATGAGACTGAGAGTGTCTGCAGAGAGGGTCTCTTGCTCTCTCAGTGATGGATGCGACAGAGTGAGATGGGGGGGGGGGTGCTTGCTCCTCTGCCTGACATGCTGGTTCCAGTCTGAGTTTTCTGTGCCTTGCTGCTACTGGGACCCTTGGTGGGAGGGGTGGGAGGGGTAATTGTGCAAGACAACGTGAGTGTTTTATGACCTGTACAGATGGGGTGAGTAGAGGGAGAGCTTGACCAGGTCAGGGTTTGCACTTCAGTTCCCCTGTGGGGGAGAGGTTAAAGCTGTCAGTGTACAGTTGTTATTTTTTTATTACAATTATGTCTACGCCCTTCGGAATGCAGCTAGGGCCTTGATATGCCCACAGAGAATGTGAGTTTTGGAGAAATTGTGTCTAGATAAAAATCAATAAACAATAACAGAAGAACAAGCCAGAAGAAGGATCACAGCAAAATGACAAAATAATGTGTTTAGTTAGGGTAGCTAATGTATGATTATTATTTGATATATTGCCACTAGAAACAATGATAACTGCCTCTAAAGTTGGAGTTGCGCTGAATTGTGTAGATTTTTCGGAATATCTATTTTTAATGTGACACTGATGAAGATAACTGTTGCTGCTCAAAAAAATTCACATATTCTGTTTCCAAATTATAAATCCCATTCGTTAATAATCCTATATAGCATTTTGTGATAATTTCATTGTTCTCTCTTGCTGTAATAGGTGTATCAAGAAAACAGTCTTTGCCATGTTCATTTAGGTGTTCTGTTTAAGAATATGTATAGCTTTTCAAATCCTTACAGCTGTGTGAATTTTTTTATGTGTGTCTGTGTAATATATTTCAGAGCATACAATTACTCTCTGATTTTCACAGTCTATCCATCCTCATGGGTGATGTCATTTGAAGCATTAAATAAGCCACCTATAATTTTGTCAGTAACATTGTTAAATTGCAAGGCAGCACTCAGAAATTTTTTATTTGGGCATAACTTTGAAATGCACGTGCTCCCCCTCACAAAAGCTTTGTGATTTTTATTAATGCATTACTTATATTTTACAGAGAAACGCAGCTACAGTCAGCAAAACAACTCTGCTGCAGAAAATGCTGTTGGTTCTCTTGCAATAGCAATGAGAATGCAGGTTAGTGTAACTTTAGGGTTGCAGATTTATTGCTCTTTCTAAGCTCTAGAAACTGCTTTTGCAGTTTAGATTTTAACTTTTGTTTTGCTCTTCTGAACGTCTTACCTGCCTCTCATTTTAATAGCAACTCTTAATGAGATTAATGTAATGCCTGTTACATTTAATCAGAGAAAGGTGAATTAAAAGTTGAATGTTGTAATTCTGGTGAATACAGCAAAGCTTGGCAGAAGCACTTGTATCAATAGACTTATGTCACTTATTCTGGTAAGACAGTGAAGATGAATTATATCTGTCCACACTTTTGTGTCATGATGTATCGAGGGTCCAAAAGTTTGTTATTTAATGTGGAAGTCAGTCAATGAACAATTAGTATCTTCCGTTATTTTTATGGTGTGAAAGAACAATAGTAATTCACCATCTTACTGGAATAAAATCTCCAAGTGCCTAATTAAAGACTTTTTTTCTGCCACTTACGTGTTAATGGAGTTGTTTGTTTTTGAAATGTGGTCAAACAATATGACAGTGGTTTTTATTTTGTCTTAAAACCATGAAATTGAAAAATTTTTAAGGGTTTTTTAGCTTTTGCTGTAGAACTTATTTCAACATACTCTTGAGATAGTTCGAAATTAGTGTTCAGCATTTATGATGCAGCTGGTGTGTGCTGTTTCCTTGTTTAAAACCAGAACATGGTAAAAGCCGTGGAGCGATGGATCCAGTCCCGTCAGTACAGGAAGTGGAACCTCCACTGCTTGAAACTGCAGCCCCTCTCCCCAGTGCCCAGGTAATAAGTGCTTTTAAAGAACTGAAATTTAATAAAATACTTAAAGAGTGAGCAAGTGTTACATGTGACAGTGTTAAACATGACAAATGTAAAAATGGTCCATGCCTAATAAATTTTTAATGTTATGTGGACTGCGTGTTGTGCCATTGTCTTGTATGCCTCATTGGGACCACGTCCTTCTGTTTCCCATCAGTTTTCACTTTTATGATGTGCATTGGAGTCAAGCTTTGTTTATTGAAGACCTATAGCTGGAAGGTTTCATTGAAGAAAGGAGTTCAAGGTTTCTGCAACATCAACAGAAATAAAAAATACGGGAAGTTCCTAGTGCCTAAACCCTAATGTAGGAAGATGTTTAGTTAAGGCTCAGTGATTTCAGTGGCATTTGAGTTTGTATTTGTATTTCCTTCCCTCAGAAGAAGTACTTTCTTCAGCATTAGACTTTTAAATTCCTTTGTGGGTGTGAAAACAAGGAAGCATATTTATTCTCATAGCCAGAATCTTTTCAATCAGTTCCTGTCATTCACCTCCCAAGGCCCATGTTGGGCCACAGGGATTTCAGGTCTGCCTCGGCACAGCTGCTGACATCTCTGACATTTAGAGCAGCCTAAGCCCTTTACTGTGCTAAAGTGCTTTGCTTGTTGGTTATGCTGGCTGATGGAGAGAGGAACTGAGAACTTGAGGTGAAATTCTGCCATGCAGGAAAGCATTGAAATTTTTTTGTGCTTATTTGTATGCCTGCTTCTTGGCCATGCAGACGCTGAAGGGACCTCACTTCAGAAGAAAGTTGGAGAGAGCTGGGACTGCTTAGCCTGGAGGATAGGAGGCTCTGAAGGATCTCATCAGTGTATATTAATACAGTGTACAGTAATACAAAGAGGATCAAGCCAGGATCGTTTCAGTGGTGCCCGGTGACAAGACCAGAGGCAGTGGGCAAAAAGTGAAACATAGGAAGCTCCATCTGAACATCAGAAAACACTTTTTTGCTGTGAGGGTGACCAAACTTTGGCACAGATAATCCAGGGAGGCTGTGGAATATCCGTTGTAGGAGATATTCAAAAGCCACCTGGACACAGTCCTAGGCAAGTAGATGTCCCTACATGAGCAGGGGGTTGGACCAGATGACTTCCAGAGGTCCCTTCCAACCTCAGCCACTCTGTGATTCTGTAATTCTGAATCCTACCGCTGTGTTTTGGGAAAGCTGGAACAAAATGTTTTCTTCTCTAAGCATTTTGATTTACTTTTCACTGTCTCTTACAGCAGTTGAATGGCAATGGACACAGTTATAATTTAAAACAGAGATACCGAAAGAATGAGTTTTCTGTTGTATCCAGGGGCACAAGGGGGCAGAAATGCTTGTGCTTTTCCTAGGCCAGTATGTTCAATTTCTAGAACTAAAGCCAGAAAAAACTATCCTAAAATAATACAGCTAAAAGTTAGATTAAAGTATGTGATGTCATGAGTATGATGATAAAAAAAAATCTGGAAAAATATTATTCCCAACCCTCTCTACAACATTGTGTGTTTAATACATAAATAATTACATAATTAACACATAATAGCATATAATATAACCAGTAACAGGACTTGCATTTTTCTACTAACTCTATAACTTTATATCTTTTTTTCTTTAAATATAAAGAAACCCTTCAGATGGAACGTATCCTGTAATAAAATGTAATCTTACAGTAATACACCACGCTGTGTGGAAACCAGATGGAGTTTTCATTGAAAATGAGGCAAAGCTGCTTAAACACTAAAGCTAAGAACATCTGCTTTTTGATTTCTTTGAGATCAGGGTGTTAATTGAAGTATTTCCAAATATATTGGATATGGAATGGAAAATTTTCTTACAAATGTGCAGAAAAAAAAAATTTAGCACACACATGAGTAGATGTAGAGCCTTCCCTCATCTTTTACGTTTTCTTGCATTTTTAATTATTACTTACCATTGTCAGTGGGAGACTTCTTACCTAACAATTTTCATTCATGCAGAAGAACCACTATTGCACAGTTCCAGCAATAGTGAATAATGTAACTTATCGAGTAATTCTGCTGTTTCTAATATAGAGACTATATTGTCAGACTAAAAGAGCCATCTACAAATCTAGATTTCTAAATGCTAGTTGTAACCAAATCTTTTAATTTCCTGTGTTTTCGGAAAACCATTTTCCAGAAATAATAGACTAGATATAAACATTACATATGTTTTGAATAGCCCCAGTAGTAGTTAACGTATACATGTAAATTCATTGTTAAATTTTATGCCTTTTATCGTTTTATTGCATGTTCGGTGTTCAGCCTGTCATTAAAGGGATTCTAAGTTGTTAAAAGTCTGGTTGCCTTGAAAGTTTTTGAGGGAATTTCAATGGGAAAATAATGCCAGCAGTGGTTTTACCAAGGGATAACTGTTAGCATCCACTGTCAATTTTACTTGACTTCTAAAATATATCTAATTTTAATTTATCTAGAAATTCTTTACGTTTTAATTTATTTATATGTGTTCAACTTCTTCCAGTTTTTGCCGTTAGTGGTACCACCAGTTTGGGAAAAGCCTCATTATTTCTTTGAGAAGGGGAGGAAGAAATGAGGGAAATAGGAAGGGCTAAGATGGCTGCAGGAAGTTCTGATACTCTGGCCCAAGATTTGAAATAAGAGCTTCTTGTCTTTAGTAAAGAGGCCAGTATATTTAGTAGGAACTAAAAAAGGCAAATTAACTTTGTCATTTTAGTCGACATCCTTCTCCTCTTCTCAAATGCATCAATTACTTAATGAATAGAATAGCACTCTGAAAATTTTCTGTGCTTAAATCTTTAAGGGACCACACTGTCATCAACTTAGTAATAGTTTTCTGGGACTTTTTATATAGAAAGTTCTGAATGAAAACTTGAGATATTCTTTGCCATGTGATGTTTGAAAGCCACTCCATCTTCTGTTCATGTTACATTTTTATGGCTAGTTGTGCTTGAAGTAATGCATAAGAAAGCCAAAGGTGTATCCTTCTATGAAAGAGGACGAGCTTAGTGTGCCTTTGAAAGAGAGTGGACTGCAGGTTAGTGTCGTGATTGAGTAACTTCTTGTCCTGAGGTATTGGATTATGTCATTGCTTGGATGGTTGGTTTCTGGGTTTCATTTAGCTGCAGGGTGCAAAAGTGGGCTACTTGAAAATTATAATTGAATAATGGTCACAGTTTAGGATATCCTCTAAGAACTGCAAGCAATTAAATTGGCACAGACTGATCGTTTGCTGGTGGATGCAGAACAGCCAAAGTCCACACACAGAGCTGAGATCTGCGAGTAGTTTTGTGTTCACTGGTGGATACTTACTTAAGGTCTTGCAGACTGTTTGAAAGTTCAGGACATTAGCTTTGATGCCATTGCCAGATTCTATCTTTAAAAATACTGTAATCAACTGAAACAGCAGGAAGGAATTTAGCCTGGTTAGGCTGAAAGTGTTTTTTAAGTTGCCAAAGGAGACAACTCCTCTCACGTTGTGTGCTGGGTCCTGGGCTTCACTGCTGCAGGAACTTACAGCTGCCAAACGCTTATGGGGACATGATGGGTCAAGCTCCCAAATGAAAAATCCATAAAGGAGTATTAAATCCAAAGCCCCAGGTGGTCTAGGTCAGGAATTCCAAATACAATAGTGTCCCCAAACCTACAGCCACCTCCCCTCAGGTACTTCTGATGGGTGCTTGCCTCAGCTGCCACTCAGCAGTCCTTGCTGGAGGTATTCATAAGCTCGCTGGATGTCTGGCCTGAGCCCTGTGCTTTAGACTCCTGCTTTGAGGGAGCCCCTGGTGGTCTAGTGGTTAAGGACACGGCGCTGTCACCGCCGAGGCCCGGGTTCAATTCCCGGTCAGGGCCCCTCCCTGGGCAGATGGAGCTCGTTAGCCCTGTAAGGCAATCCATCTACATCCTGAGGACCTCGCTGCCACCGTCCAAGCTCGCTTGGCCCCGGCAGATGAACCTCAGGATTAAAGGGTGGGCTCAGTTCCGCGCACACTGTGTCTCACCTAAAAAATCCAATGCGCAGGCTGGAAGGTGTAAAGACCTTCCCCGGTTCTTCGTTC